GAGCGAAGACCACGACGTGTCCGCTGCTCGGCTGAAAGAAGCTGGTGTGTTTCTGTCAGGAGGGTTTGTGCGACACCACAAGGACTACAGTGAAGAAGCACTTTTCAGTGTGTGAGTGTGTGTTGGTAATAAACTGTCGTTGCAATAGCAGTGAAATAATCAAGCTTTATGTCACAAGTTCAACCGTGTCTGTCGTCAGGAAAAAGGAAGATTATTTATTACCAACAATGACTCATCACCTTCCTCCTGAAGTCATTGTGATGTGTTCATGAGGGAAGGAAAAGACCAAACCGATGAGTCAACTGTCAGAACTCAACAATCCTTCGAGATTATAGCAGTTTTTAGTCGCCTTCTTTGCCTAAAGAAGACTATAAAGGACCATGTTTTATTCCATTAAGTACAAATCCAATGTGTTTTTTTTTTAACATTGTCAGTGAATTGATTAGTGGATTAAGAAAGTTAATCAGCAATTATTTTTAAGCAAAATTGTGAAATATTTCATGTTTCCAGCTTCTGTGGATGATCTGCTTTACCTGATTACTAATTACATTACAGTAAACTGAATATTTAAAGCAATAAATCTAGATTATATCACATCCATCAGAGTGATCCTCCATCTGTAATCTGCAACACAGCGATGGAGAATGTGATAAAATAATCCTTTATTAGTCCCACAGCGGGGAAATGTACAGGATTACAGCAGCATAGAGCAAACAAGACATGGTCAAAAACAATGTGTCAAAACAGATGTATGTGTGTCTGATTTTATTCTGAAGGTGATGCTTCAACATTGCATCATTGAGGGGAACTAATGACTTCATAACAGTTTGTTTGAGTAACTGGTCGCACGGCTTCCTGCTCACATATGTAAAGCGTGAACCTGCAGGTGAGACTTGTTCCAGTTTCGCAGGTTTCTGAATGTTTGAACGTCTCCCTCAGCTCCTGCAGCCTTCAACGGTTTTAACAATCAAAACACAGCTTTGGCACCAAAATACAGGACTTTGGACCGAGCACAGTTGTGTTAATTATCTACAATATATGTTAAGTATTGAATGATAACTTCAAAGCCCCATAAAAGCTCAGAATGATTGTTTTGAGTCCAAAGATTCAAGCCTTCAGTCCACCGTGATATTAAAGACTGTAATATATAAAACGCATATGTTATATTCACCTATAATCAGGCCTGGTTTTTAAATCCTCGTTCTTTGTTTTGGAGCCAGTGGCTCTACCACCTGGTGTTACTGGACAGCTGGCCGTTCCTTACATGGGTTTTTAACTGATGCACAGTCTCTTTTTCTTTCCCTCCAGTGTGTTTGATTAGAATTCCTAACTTTGATCTACTCTGCTTGGCCTTTCTGGGGCTGGTTGTCCTTTTACAGCGGTGTTTTGCAACACACCACCTCCTCCCTCCGCTGTTGTCATAATCCTTATTACAGATACAGATTTCTTCATGATAACAGGCGGCCTTTAACACGCCTCTGTCTGACTTGGTTCAACTTTGATCATCATGCTGTGTCACTATATGAAATGTGAATTTATTCGTGTTTCCTGATTATGTTAATCCGTGTCTAAACAGTTAATGTGAGGTTTTTCTTTTGTTTATTTTCAATTTTTTTTAATCAAATAACCATAAGTCCTGGAAGGTATTCGATTTGTTTTCCTTCTCAGAAATCAAATGTAAAAGGGGCTTTGTATGTTATTACTAAAGCTGTATTTTACAGGTCTGTTTTCTTAATAATTTCCTCGGACATTTCGTGTTTTCAGACTAAGCTAAGTTTGTCGTTTCTCGTTAAACAAGCAGAAGTTTTGCTTTGTTTTGCCCAATTATTCATATATTGTTAGAAATTTCAGTCAATGTTCAGATGACCTGCTGTGCATTGATTAAAATACAAAAAATACCCTCTTCAGTTAAATTTAAGATATGCTGCATGTGATAGTTTTCCTTTTCTTCAAAAGTGCGTCAGGGCATTTTCCTCTTTCATTTTCACTATTCAGGATTTGTCATGGAGCTAAACGTTATATATTAAAACCCCTAATTGTGTAGTAATCAGTCGTCCATCAAAAGAGGCCGAGCTGCGCATGTCTGCCTCCCTCCTCTTCCTCTCGCTCTCACCTCTCTAGCTCAGGCGGAGCCGCTGTGTCGCTGCATGCTTAAGATGGACGCCAAACAGGGTTGGTCTGGTTCATAATCTTTTGTTTACCGACCCGCTATCTCCTCTTTTACATGCCGCGTTTGCGTACAGTTATGTCGGTGGTTTAGAATTTGCATGAGCACCGTGTCTGGATGAGCCCGGAGAGAGAGAGGCGAATAGCGGGCCGTCTGCGGAGGTCATACCGGACTATTTTTAGCCTGGCTCCGGCGGTGCTAGCACGCTACTGCTACCATATGTAGCCAGGTGGCCACATTTGAACCGCGGAACCTCCCCCTCTTCGTGCTCCTCACCCACCTCCTCGTGCTTGCTACTCTGTCATTGTCTTCACATCCAGACAAACGTTCTCTCTTGTCAACCTACCGGTCACCGTACTGCTGCGTAGCTAACAGAGTTAGCATACTGACCAGTTAGATAATTAGGGGGAGAGCTAGCTGCCAGCTAACGTGCTAGCTATGCTAGCTGGTAACGCCCACATGCACACCCCGCTTTGCGTAATAAGCAAGAAGCTTCCCGAAAATACAGCCTATGTTTCTAATGATTAGTGTCTGAATAACCGTGAGTGAGACGACTGACACCACGTTTTGCGGTTGTTTAAAATGAGCCTAGAGGCGTCGTCTTTATTGGAAATCCCTCTGATCTAGATAGACAGACACTTTATTATTCCCGCAAGTGGAAATTATTCTATCTGTGTGTCTCTCTGTCTCAGTCTCTCAGTGGTGTCTTTTCTAAAACAGCAGCAACACAGATATTTTAAAAAACGTCCACTTTTTAAGATGACTCTGGTAGAAACTGCAGAGTGTTCGGCAAGTGGAGGAGCTGGTTATACTAACATATGCAGCAGATGTGAATGTTTCATTAAAGTAGGTTTTACTGCAAGTTATTAGTGTGATTCATCAACAAAAAAACAGACACTTTGATAATTGATTATCAAGTAGAGGAGCAACTAACAATCATTTTCATTATAGTTTTAATCTGCTGACCTTTTATCCTTGTGAAATTTCCCAAAAATTATTATAACGATGCCCTTCGTAAATTCACCAGACGCTACGGTGACATCTTCAAATGTCTTGTTTTGTCGGAAAATCCCCCAAAAACCAAAGAGATTTAATTTGCTGTCACATGTGACAAAGAAACGCAAAATGTTTGTCGTTTTGCGTGCTTCGATTTCAGCTCTCTCACCAAAAAGAAACATCCGACGTGTTTGTTTTTCTCTGTGTTGATGAATGTTCTACCTCGAACCTGTCAAGTAATGAGCCATTCTTGGTTTATCTCATTTATCAGGTAACTGTGCAGAAAGACCAAGGGGTGAGCTAACATACATTTGTACTCTTCAAATCTCTGTTTTCTTTTCTCCTCTAGTCCTGTTAAACTGTACTTTATACTAAAAGTAAAGACGCATACTTCTACATGCGTCCTTAACGGAACTGGCAACTACTTGTTGTGAAGTGAATGCAATGGAACGAGTGCAACATCTAGTATCTTAATGTTATCAATAGCACCTTTAAAATGATAGGAAATAGTGATAAATAGCCGTCAAAACTTTCCTTATGCGACCAGCAGTCCAGAACGCATCGATACTAAAGACAGATAGAAAAGCAGCATTTTGTTATATTTGAGAAGCAGCAAACTGGGAATATTCAGCCGTTTTTGTTATGACTGTAATGATATATCGTTGATCCCATTTTAAATTAAGCTCGGTAGAATAAACATTTTATATTCGGCTGATTTATGTTGAACGAGCGGTCGGTTGTATTTGTCCACTCAGCCCGTTAAGCCCGTTTTGTTGGCTTCTGAATATTTTGGTCGGCTGCCGAACGCATTGTCTGGTGAGTGCTGAGCACCTGCTTCTGTCTCTCTGTACATCAGCTCACCTGCAGCCTCAGTCTGCATTTTAATGCCGCTTTGCTTATCGGCAAACCCTCTTTATCTCTGGATGTGTGCGGCCCCGGGTCCCTAAAGTCATAGCACTGTTGTGTTTCGTGATGTGGATCGTGTACTTGATTTTTTTTTTTAAACTGTAACCTCACATTTAAATACTATTTAGCTGTATTTTCCAATCAGCGAGGCAGAAACATTGCACTGTCAGATTCCAGCGTGCAGTTCGAGGCGCTCTTGTCATTCAGAGTCACAAAGTACAGCATGTGTCAGCTGTGAGCCTGCAGGAAACCCAGGACTCCTTCACTGCTAAACTTGTCCACTGACCTGCCTGGAATTCCCTGGTGAAATATAAGCGTGCTCGGTGCAGGACGTGGGTCATGAGCCCAGCTGTCTCCCAGGACAGTTCGATCCCCCCCACCACCAACCGGTTTTGGGGTCCGTAGAGAGTGAAGGAGCTCCCTGCAGCGCGTGTGTGTGTGTGTGTGTGCGTGTGTGTGTGTGTGTGCGCGCTATAAATGTGACCGGCAAAAAAAAATTGGGAAGATGAGACTGATTGGCCAGTCAGCAGGGTCTGTGAACCGCTACCTGCTTTTATTGTGAAAATCTTGACCACCAATATTACAGCAGCTTTTGTCCACAGATCTATTGTTATTCATAGCTCTCTTTTGTGACCAGCCATTTAGTTCTTCATCAAAAACCTGGCAAAAAGAAGGGAAGAGCGTTTGTGGAGTTTCAACGTTTATCCACAGAAATCTGAATCATAATGCTCATGCAAGTCAAAGCGGATGTCCTCCGATGTGTCCGGCGGAGCTGGTGTTACGTCAGAGGGAAGTAGTCATCGAGGTGTGAAAAGTGTAAAGAAAGTCCAGAAGGCACAGACGTGAGGAAGTGTGAGTCAGAAGCTGCAGGGAAGGGATGACAGTGTGTGACCTCTGACCTCAGGACATCAACTTAAAGGTTGCTCCATCACATCCACCCACCAAGAGAATGTGATTCTAGTTTAAACTGTTGAGTGGAGGCAGAAACAGTGTTTGGAACATAAACTTGATGCTAATACATTTTATAAGTCTTGTGTTTGTTGTGGATCCAAAACAAATGAATCGTGGATTTTTATCTTTACTCCCAAACGGCGTCTCTCTGTCACTTCTTACGACAATTTCATGGTTTCTGATCTCATCGTGCGTATTAGACAGAGGTGTGAAATGTACTGATTTACTCGGAAAACCACTGTGGTCGTGCAGATTTTCAGGAATTAACGCAATCAGTTAGCTATTGGGCATGTCAACGATCAGATGTCCATTTATTCTTATAAATGAGGAACAATAAAGAGCATATTTTAAACCCATAATCACAGCACAATATCAGTAAATTAATGATTTCAATTATACGAAAATAAGAAATGTGGTGCTTTGACTCCTTTTTGTTGCAGTTCAATATTAAATACAGCGTACATGCAGCACAACCTCCAGGCCTCATTTGAGGAGATAAACTGTCACGTCTCTCTGGATGTTTGTCACTAACCATCCCTCTTCCTCCTCCTCCTCTTCCTCCCCCTGCAGTGGTGGATCTCCTCTACTGGCGTGATGTGAAGACCACCGGTGTGGTGTTCGGCGCCGCCCTGCTGCTCCTCCTCTCCCTGACGCTGTGCAGCATCGTGAGCGTCAGCTCCTACGTCGGCCTCGCTCTGCTCTCCGTCACCATCTGCTTCAGGATATACAAAGGCATCCTGCAGGCCATCCAGAAGTCAGATGAGGGGCACCCATTCAAGTGAGTACCAGAGAGAGAGACTTACTCACTCAGTGGTTAGATTGAAACTGAACTGTAAACTGAAGCATTAAAGTCTGGTTTCATTGGGAATCAAACTCGGCCGATCTCATCACAGAGATCAATGACCTGATTAATCCTGATTATCAGTCGGTGCTGCAGGCGCTCTGGTCTGTCTGCTGAGGTTACGTGTGTCTGGATCACATTACATGTCCTTTATTTTATATTTACCACTGCATCACATTAAACCACACAGAATACCACCGTACAATACTTAACAGGATCACTTTGAGTACACAGTGGACTCTTTAATGAGCCGGCTGGTTCTACGTCCTTCATCCTCCCTCCGTCAAAACCTTCTTACTGTGTTTATTCACATTAGAGCACATTGGCTCAGATTAACATAATCTTTGGAGGTCACATTACAAGATGATTTCTCTACATTCTACAGTGTTTATGCAGCTCTCGCTCCTCTCACTGACGTTTAAAGTCTCATCGTCATCGTGGTCTCTGCTCTGTCTTTAACCCGCTCTCCTGCTGCTCCTCTCAGGCAGTACCTGGACCAGGAGGTGGCGCTGTCCGAGGAGATGGTCCACAAGTACAGCGACTTGGCTCTGGCCAAACTCAACAAGACCATCTGTGAACTGAGGCACCTGTTTCTGGTCGAGGACCTGGTCGACTCCATCAAGGTGAGGGCGACTCTGCTTCACGCTGAGGGTGTAGCTTCACAGGGAGCGTCTGTCTTTGCAGTTTCTCGACGACACTTCTTCTGATCGACTTCACACTTAACAGGTGTGAGGGTGCTCATGAGCGGTTCTCGAGAAAGCTGCGAGCAGCAACAGGCGCTGCACTAGTACTCAGAATGATGAGGAATTAAATGACCTGAATATATTGGTGTAGAAACATAATGAAGCCTGAGGGTCTCCTACGTCCTCCAATGACTTCCAGTAATCACTGAAGAGGCTTCAGGGGTCTTTTAAGATGTTTAAGTGTTTAATACCTACATGAGATTTAGGAGTGACCACCACTATCAAGACACTAAATGAGGAAATATCGTTTAGAAGAATGAGTCCTTTGTTTAGAAATGTAGAGAACCACTAACGAGGAAGACTTTAACTTAAATGGTGAGCGTCATTTGCCCTTATCTACGTGACATAGACCTCCTGTTTTTTATGAAGGCTCAGCCATGTCAATCGGTACCACCTACAGTAGATTAATGCGTCTGTAGACCAGTGTCGGTAACAGATGAGCTTTCAGAGCTCTGCAGCTGTCAGAGGCCTGTCGTCACCTCGCTGCGCCCTCCAACCTGCAATCCAAATACAGACCTGAGAGCAGCGCTGTGCAGAGGAACTTCCCTTAAAGGGTAAAAAACAGTCTGATTCTTTTAATCCCATCAGGAGGAAGCTTGAGCCTCAGGAACAGATTGCTAACATGTGTCTGGATGCATTCTGGGATATTCCTGTTATCCTTCTGCCTCTGATTAATGTCCTGTTACCAGTTTACACCAGCAGGTCATTGAAATGTCACAAATATAAACCGTGTTGGGTCTTTACACTGGCGGCCATGTTGGCTCTGGATGCTCCAGGCTGTTTCCACGTTCATCATTAACACGAGCAGAGAAACTGTCTCGTTACGTTACAGCACTGGAAGCATTGATACTAACACAGCTTCAGGGTTTACAAAACAAAGACCAGACGAGTTTCTGCATCCTGGTCCGGTTTTAAACGGTTCATTACGGAAAACAAGATGGCCGCTGAGATATTTCTGTTCAGTGTCAAATATTTTGGACTCTTTGTGAAGACAGACGACTCGTCTCACACAGATTGATTCACTCAACAATTTTTTTTTTATTTGCTCTGTGAGTGTTTATATGAATGTATATGATTAATTAATGAGGAGAATGAACTGAGTTAATTCCTGAGAGGAGACTCTCTCTAACTGGTATTGACTCAGAGCTCTTTGTTTCCCTCTCTGTCATTAAACGATCGTTGTTAGAGTGAGCTGTGATGGAAGAAGTAATCGCATCTTATACTTTAATAAAAACACGACAACACATTAATACACAGTAGAAATACAAGTTAAAGTCCTGCATTATCATCATTATTGGCATTAAAACATACTTGTAGTAACAAAAAGTAAAAGTACTCGAGTTATTTCAGAATAATATCTATTGTATAACTGAATTATGATAACAGTAGTTTAATCTATAATACATAATAATAATACAGTATTAGTTTATTATATTTTGTATCAATACTCAGAATCTGTGAATCAACTAAACCTGCAAAATAAATGTGGTACAAAGTAAAACATTTTCCTCTGAGGTGTAGGGGAGTAAAAGTATTGAGTAGCATGAAGTAAAAATACTCAAGTACACAGTTTGAGGTACTTAACTGAAGTACAGAAGTTTGTGATCTTTTAATAATAATCAGTGATGTATGTTTCCTCTCTGCAGTTCGCTGGGTTGATGTGGATCCTGACCTACGTGGGGTCCTTGTTCAACGGGCTCACTATTCTTATTCTGGGTGAGGACCAAGTCACATGTCAACATATTGTGTTAATGATTCACACGTTAAAACTATTCCCACTTCGGCTCCTTCTGGTGGTGAAATCAAGAATTACATCAGATCCGTCTTCTAGTTTCTCTGAGAGATTCAGTGTCTGTTTGTAGTTTTAAATCAGACTAACGAGAAGCAGCTGTCGCATAACTACTTCTTCTTCTTCTTCTTCAGCTCTGATCGGACTGTTCAGCTGCCCGATCGTCTATGAGAAACACCAGGTGAGTCTTTATTAATGATTCAACGTGGATCAGAACCAGTCTAAAGGGACCAACTGGACCCAGATTCATTTACATTCAACTTTATTTTACAGTTATATAAATATGCGCCTGCTTTACATGTGTGTGGTTACAAAAACTGGTGATTGAGTCAATAATGATCTACTTTACACTTATGTGTTATTTGACAGCTTTAGTTACGTTACAAATTAGGATTTTACATAAAATACAGATCATAAGATAATAAAATATAACAACCTCTTACAAAAACATCAGTGTCTGTTGTCAGTTCCACCAAAGAGACATTTCTCCTCAACGTATTACATCGTGTCATTTAAACGTTTGCTGCTGTAACATTGGTGAAACACGTACTTTTAATGCTTTAACTCTCGTCCGTGTGTTTTCAGGCTCAGATCGACCACTACGTGGCTCTGGTCAACAACCAGGTCAAAGACATCGTTGGGAAGTAAGTAGTGTTTCCTTCTTTCCTTTCCTTAATCTGCCTCCTGAGGTCAGTGAGCCGACCAGAGAGCGGCTCTAATGAACCAACTGGTGTTAAACTGAAAACAGAGAATGTGTCGTATGGAAGTACGAGAACATCATTTAAACTCAAAACTACAAATTACAAGAGACTAAACTTTATTTCAGTACCACTTTACTACTGATCAAGAACTAATTATTACATTTGATGAGTAATGATGCCATTTTATTAATCCGTCTTTATATTGTCATTTTAAAAATGGACCTGCAAAATTAATTTGAAAGGTTTTACTCATTAATTTTCATTAATTTCTGTCTTTAAATTCCCTTCGTCCTCCAGGGTTCAGGCGAAGGTCCCCGGGATGAAACGCAAAGCAGAGTGAAGTAACGAGAAGTCGCAGTTTGGATTCAGGAAGTCCTGAGAGGGAAGCTGGTTGGAGGGAGGGAGGAGGGGGGGGAGGGGATATGAAGAAAAGGCTGAAGGAAGGGTCTGGCGTGGATGCAGCCCTTCTGACTTTGTCAACATAATAAAAACACTTTTTTTTTTTTTTTTCCAGTTCAGAATTCCTTTTTTGTTTTTTGTTTGTGTGTTTTCTGGGGAAGTTGAAGGTTCACGACACCGAGGGCGGCTCGTTGATTCACCTTTTATGTCGAGTTTTAAATGTTTCTGTGAGTTTGCTGAAACTTACAGAAACACATTTTAATCTTGAGTTAACCCTCCCTCTCCTCGCCCAGTGCATTGTGGGAAGTCAGACGCTCCCTCCGTAGAGTTTGGGTGTTTTACTTCCATCACTTTTCAAAGCGAGGGGATTGTTTTTGTTTCCCTTCGTCTGCTGTTGGAGAGAGCGAGCAGCACCTCATTTGTATCTGTTTGTTTTGCTATGATTACTGAGTTGACGTATTTTGTGATTTAGCTGTTTAACTGAAACACCAGTGTCCCTGAAGCTTGGAGCTCGTTTGCCTCGATGTGACGAATTTGTGAACGTCTTTTTTTTTTTTTTTGCGGGGGGGGTGGGGTGGTTTGGGGTGTACTACCATTTTAAAAAAACACGTCATCGCTTCTGAGTAACTCTAGCTAGAAAACCTTTGCCAGACGAATACAACATACAAGTCGTTATTTCCATGTCATTTGCAGCTGTCTAGTAATGAAAGTCTCTGGCAGAAACACGTTTACATTCATCCACATCAGTTTGAATATTTAAAAAGTGAAAAAAAAAAAATGAAATGGGATTTTAAAAAGTAAAAAAAAATAACCATTCTGTCTGTGGAACAAAATATCTTAATGAAGTTGCAACTTGATGTGACTTTGGGAAACCTTGGAGCATTTCTTTGTTATGCAAGTATAATTGTGAATGATAAACTTCATACTTCAATTGTGACGATAAAAAGCTTCCATCTGGGAGCCGTGTTTGTGGAATGCATTGTGAGATGTAAACAATTATCAATAAAGCTTCTAGACGAAGAAAGACCCGCCTCCTCGTCTGTCCGTCAACTTGGCTAACTCCAGTTAGCTCCTGTTAGCTTCAGCCCATTTCCACCAGGAGAAGAAAACACGGAAACAAATAAAGACGAATGACAGAAATGTTACCTTCAAAGTTATGAATATGACAAAGATGTGATATATAAGCTGTGATACAGACCTTCTATATGAAGGACATGAAGTAGGTAGCCTAGATTATATACTTATTAAAAGTAAATAGATGGCTTAACATTTGTAGGATTTGTATTGTTTGCCAGTAGAATAATGTCCCCAAAAATCCTATATTAACATTTTTAATACTTCTCAGTGAAGTTAAGATGATGAAAAACAATCACTACCTCATAACTAAGATATATATATATATTATATATATATATATATTATATATATATATATTATATATATATTATATTATATTATATATACAGTAAAAATATAGGAATGGAAATTTCACTTAATTTCACCTCCCACCAACCAGGAGCCACAGAACCCTTTATAATGAGCTGAAATGTTTCATTATGTTCTTGTTCACACAACTTTAATTAGTTTTTTTTGTTGTTTTTTTTTACATGTATTGCAAAGGCATAAGAAACGAGCAATATAATAACTGATGCCATGGGGGCCAAATACTTTTCCCTGAGGATATTTAGTTTGAAGGTAAAATCAACCTCCCAGTATGAACACATGAATAGTCCTCCTTTAGTTGTAAAATGCACAAATAGCTGAAGTTATTTTCCTTCCTCCGTTAATGAGGACGATGCTGGACCGGGGCCAAAGGAACCGGTACTCATGCTCTGTGGGCCCCATAATGCAGAAGATCCGGGTATTTTCATCTGAATCCTCTACTTGGACGTCAAAATTTTTCTAGCTTCATGAGCCGTTGAGCAACTCTCATAAAAACAGACGCTGTATCCAGTTGTCTTCATATATCCATGTGGGCTGCCGACAGATAATCCACCCAGGGGGCCCTGCAGGGCTAACCCACAAGGGCCTCGTTAAGGTTTGCCCCGGCCCACAGTAAACCCACAGATACCCACAGTGGGGCCGCACCGCACCTTAATTAAATAACTCAGATCTGTTTACAGTTCAGTGTATTTTGATGCTTTGGCCTCAAGATGGTGCAACAGGACCAGAGGATCTCAGAGGAGGTTCAGTAAATCATTTGAGCTCCACAAAAATCTACAAAGAGAACGTGAGTCAAACTTTATTCACACACTGCGCTCATACAAATCCATAGAAATGTCACAGGAGTCTTCTCCAGAACATCACAACCTTTTCCCCCAGATGTTTTTAGCTTCTGGCACAGAAACTACTCAACCAATCCAAATGTGAGATTTTACTACTAGTCCCAGACGCACCATCTCACAGCATTCCTTTCCATTCACAACTGAGTCATGTAACATTTCAAATAAAGAACATTGGACTCCAGTGTTTGATTTTAAAAAAATCTACTTATTAGAGTAGTTCTGTCTGGCTTTTGTCCAACTGAGAACCTCAGGTAAACAAAGTTAAACAGAGAACACATCTACGCTGGTTTGATGAGAAGAGGTCAAATCTAAATCACACACAAATCATTTTTTGTTAATGTTTTGCTATGATGGAGCTGATCTTATTGCGTTGCTCAGAGTTCCTGTTATTGAATCCCCTCGGGGAGTCTTACAGGTTTGTTGCTCTGTTGGGTACAATTATTACATCTGAGGTAAACATAAAAACAAATGAGCCTGACTCAGCCCACACAGTCGATCCCATGTGGTCTATTTTAATGAAACTCAGATGATCTTCTTGTAATTATTTTCCACTTCAGTCACCAGTGTTAGAGTAGAACCCCGTTACAAATGTTTTTGCAATGTTGGTGATAGAAAATAATAATTTGAGTGTTTTTAGCTGTATTATTGATGTCTCCGAGATGAGAACTAAATTCATATTTAGTGATTTTATGGTGTTTGGTTGGCTTTTCAGAAAAGAGGGAGACGGCCGTAGTGTTTCTGAAAATATCTCTTCTTTGCATTTCTCTCGGATGCACTAAAAAGTTAATAATTCATGTTTGGATGCTGCTTGCAGCTATATTATAGCTCTTATTTTATGTAGTTATATTCTCTGACCCCCCTGAAGGTCTAGGGCTCACAGCTACATCTATAACTATAACAACATATAACATGTTTTTCCCCTCACACTTCTGATAAAAGAAGCTTGTATTGCTTTAATTGTTGTTTTTTGCGTTAAACAAAAAAAAAGAGTTTTGTCATTTTTTTTTTTTTGCTCCTTTGATTCTTTTCTTACATTTTTCTTGTATTTCATTTATTATTATTACATTACTTTCTGTGTATTTTCATGTTGTTGTTTGCGTTTTTAATGTAACAAAACGTTTACTTGTAATTAAATGTTTTATATAACTAAAATTAACTTTCTCTCCTACGGTTTCTCCCCCGTTCAGCACCACAGACAGCGCCTCCATCACTGCTGCTGGTATTTGCAGTTTTTAAATTCTCACTGATAAGAAACGACGATGAGCTGAAAAAACACAAAGTCCCAGCATCCTTTGCGGCCGTGCGTCTTCTCCAGCGGAGCCGGGTGTTTTCTCTCTGTGCGTCATGGTTACCTCCCGAGTCCGAGCTGCGACAGGCGCGTGACAAGTCCCCCACAATAAGACCGGATGTTTAGAGATTTAACCTTCAAAATAAAATCTGGAATTTTTACAGCAGGCTGGTACGTGTTACAATAACAATAATAATGAGCTCCAAACGAAATTAATAATATTCCAGTGTGTTGAGAAACTAACACACACTCTCAGTGGTGGAAGTACTCAAAACATTTACCAAAGTAAAAGTGCCAACGGACAACAACAATGAAAAATCCAAAAGTCCTTCATTCTTCTTTTTTTTAATCTGTCATATTATTTATTGGACAAGTGTACAATGACACGTAAAATGTCTATATAGTCTTTTTTCTTGTGCAGCACTACATGCCCCGGACTCAAATGCCTTTTATTTTGTATGTTTATTGACCGGAAATGCGCTGTAATAACCTGCTATGTGTTAACTTGATGCTTCTGCTCGTCAGTCCGAAAAACGAGCGAGAAAACATCACTGAGATGAGACTCGGTGGTCTGGGAGGGTCTCCATCAGGCGTCTGGAGTCCGGTTCACTGATCAGCTGAGTCTGTCTGTCTGGTCACCTGTCTGTCTGTCTGTCTGTCTGTCTGTCTGTCTGTGGGTGGAGGGACTCAGTTTGCAGCGGGAGAATGCTCTCCTCCTGCAGGGAATCAGGACTTTCCTCTCCCGTCATCCGGCCGGTATGCTGCGGTGTGAACCCAGGGCTTCTCCCCTCCTCTGCCCGCTGAAGTTGTCTCACCTGCGGTGATGCAACCCCTTATTTCAGCCTCTCTTCTCCGCGTCTCTCTCCGGAACGGCCCGATCATTTCACAGTGGAAATAATCCGTTTCTTTTAATTTTCTGAGATTATGAGGCTACACACCCTGTCCTCCTCCTGACTCAGGTGGATTTTTTTTTTTTACTCGCGGACAGATTTGTGAATGGGATTGTGAGCTTCCGCACGTTTTCTCCTCCAGCGAAACCTCCTCCACCTTTGCGCGCTGCGCGTAAATCCGCGGAGGGATGATGTGAACAACCGGGGGATACAGGAGTAATAATAAAAAAACAAACCCGTGCTGTAGTAACCATGGCTGGTACTGAGGTCGAGGATTAGTGTGAGGAGGGATTATATTTTACAGGAGCAGAATCCTCCATCAATTGTGCTGTTTTTTTGTCTTTTTATTTTATTTTCTCGGACAGAACTTCCCAAACCCGTTAGGATATGTTCTCTATTGCTGTCTGTTCTCTTCTTTTATTTCCTTTTTGAAAAGTAAAAGAAAATCCTCTACTCAGACTGCTCCTTTAGCCGATATGAGAGTAAAAACTAGAGTATTAAACACAACAAAGTTCGCCTCATTACTCAACTGTAGCTATTAAATACCATAAGTCACGATGGGGTCGTTATAACGTCACGGTTTATAATTTACAGCGCAATAACAACACTGTCAGTCCCTTTGGAAATATTAATGGAAATTGCACTCAAACCACAGGAGATAAAAAAATACTATTAAGTGCATCAGAAACTCTCTGCAGGACTATCATCCATCCGGCACACCTGAGGATGAAGATGATGATGATGATGGCTGATTGAGAGTAAAGAGCTCTGAGCTGCCTGCTTTTTCTGAGCTATTTAATTCACCTGCTGCCGGATGCAGAACTATGGACACACAGAGATCTGATCAGAAGTGGAAAATGACCCGTGAGTACTGAATTAACTCTAAAATACCACCAGATACACACAATAACTATGTTTCTGTATAAACTATATTTGCCATCACAGACATTAAGAATATTGTGTAAGGAGCCACAACTGTACAAGTTAGGATTAAAGTTATTTTATTTCACCATACAGAATATTATATAGCCTGATACAGAGTTAAGATAACATTACATTAATAGGTGTCATTGTAAACTGATTATTAAGCATCAGAGGGACATGGAGGAACTGTATATCAGTTATTCAGTCTCCTTGTTCCTCGATCTGTTTAATTACGATCAGATCTCAGATTTCTGGTACTGATGATGTGTGCACATGATGTGGTCTGAAGGATCTTAAACCAGAGGAAGAAGTCGGATTGAACCAGCAGCAGCAGCAGCAGCAGCGGTGTCCCGTCAGATGAGCGAGGATGTCGGACCGGAGCGCCCCGGGCTGCCGGCTCAGACTGGACTGGGTCTACGGGTACCGGGGCCACCAGTGCCGGAATAACCTGTACTACACCGCCGGGAAGGAGCTGGTGTACTTCGTGGCCGGGGTGGGCGTGGTTTACAACACTAGAGAGCACAGCCAGAGGTTTTACCTGGGACACAACGATGACATCATCAGGTAAGAAAGACTGTGCTGCCACACCTGGATCTGTAAAAGTCAGTTTATAACATAAGATATATATATATTTATTTATAGCCTACATTAAAAATTTGTTTACAAACTCTCACGCAACTCGTGCCATACATTATCCAAGTCTCGTGCATTCAGTCATGTGTTCAATATTCTTCCCAAACACCTGCATTTTCGTCAAAAAGGTCATGGATCATTAAAATCTTGCGGGTTCATCCTCTGGGGAGCAGGAATATGTCAAGTTCCAATATCATAGAATTTGGCAGATGTCTGAATGTGGTGCATGGAGCTGCAGTGCAATCTGTGTTGATTGTTGTTGATAGTTTAATGTTATTGTTTATTGTTAAATGTTACGCACCACCCGCCACGACAAATTCCTTGTAGGTGCAAACTTCCTTGGCAATAAACGGTTCTGATTCTGATTCTGTTCACAGAAAACAAGTCCACAAAGAGGGATTTTTTACTACAAAACTCCCTCTTTGTGTTACATTTTCATGTGAAGCTCATCTAAATAATGTTAGAGTTGGTGAATATTTGTGGTTCGTTGTATGTGGGCTGTAAGAAAATGCCTAAATGTTTTATACAACATGGTGGACTTGACTGGAGGGACAAACTCTGCTGAATGAAATCTTCAGTCATGACTGTTTCACCTTCCTTCTCTGAGATTTTGTCTCACGGCGACTCTTCAACTTCTCTTACTCATCTGGACGTTTCGCTCTTTGTCTTTTGTGTGGCGATGTTTCTTAGAAATCCTGGCGGGGGTTTATTCCTCCCACACAATTCTGTTTGACAGAAGCTAAAATCTAAACAGAAACAGGTCTTTACTGTGCCAGAAAACATCTTTTTAAGGTTTTGGGTGATGATTTATTGTGGGTTTTTTAAGGTCTTGAGATGACTGGCGGAAATAAGTGGATTTATGTAATGAAGGAAATATTGATATTTAAGATGTTTCCATTCAGACCAGCTGGCAGTGCTTGTTTCAGTTCATCTATCAGCGGTGCTGAAAGAGCTCAGGAGCAGATGATGGTTGTCTTGTTCCCCACGAGCCTCGTCTGTCATACAACATGTAAGACGCTTACATTAGTGAGTCCTTTATATGTGATATGTAATGGTTTTAATAGCCTACATAGAAATACATACTGCTACATCAGAAAAAACAAAATAATTTCTCAATTAGTTATGCAACTTTCACATTAAAATAGAAACATATGAGCTACAGGTGAAGACACATTTTAAATCTGAATCTTTCATGTTTCCCTCTTTGTTTCTTCATCCGTGCATTTTCTACTCTTAGTTCTGAGAGGTCCCACGTGATTTGAAGGCAACACAGTAAACACAACAGAGATATTTCTTATTTCTACTCATGACACACCCCAGTCTGTGTATAATAACATATTAAATGATAACTGCTGATTAATTTCATGCTGTTTCTGAATCTAATAAAACGAGACCTGAGATGAACTCCTAACGAGCTGCACAGCTGTGATCCTGTTAGAGGAACCAGATGCAGTTTCAGGTGATGAACGGCGTCGTTCTCGTCTTAAATGAATAAACCGAGCAGGAGGAAAAGAACAAAGTAAAGTTCAGAAGCCAAAATTTTATTACACATTTGGTGCAAGTCTGTGCAATATCTCACCACAGTGATATGATTATAGATATTATAGTTTTCTGTAAAGATATGATGGCAAACTTCATAAAACTTCACACAGAGAGGAAAACATTACAAAGAGGAACCACGTATCCAAACATCCTGGAGAACTCCTTTAAAGGACAGAACACAGTTTGTGGATCTGAATGAGCCAATTGAACATTTGTTCACAAACACCCAAAACCTTTAATCTGGGATTATCTGGCAATTATATAATGGAGAGTCCGTTTTCACGGTCAGGACGGACTGTGACAGGTGTCTCTCATAGTGTTGAACAGATTATATTATATTGAAGATGGACGAAGCGTCTCACCTTCCTCCCACTTTCAAATCAAAATATACTGGATACAGGAGCGGCCATGTTGAGGTTTTTAGATTTTGACCAACCGCCTGAACCAAGCAGGGCCACAGCTTGTTAGCCACCTAGCTGCTACGTTAGCACCACGATAGCTGTTTGGCTAAAAAGGCCCGACAGCTAACCACACTATCTTTATGAATATATATACACATGTTCTATTACACAGACTCTATATATGCCTCCAGCTTCGCAATTTCGTCTTTGATTCTTGTTGGTAGTTTGACTCATGTCCTATCTGCTAACATGGAGGGGGCGGGATTTATAACGTATACAGCAGCTAGCCAGCAGAGGGAGACTGAGATGTTTTGGCTTCACTTTTGGGTAGCTGTCATGTCGTCCATCTTTAATACAGTCTGTGTGTTGAACACATAAAGAATAATCACCATCTCTGCAGCTCTATGGAGCCTTTTATCTGGATTTTGTCTGGAGTCAAACTGTGATTTGTCAGCGCTGTACAGCGTTTTTTTATTCTCCATATACAAAACAAACCCTTCATACAAAACAACATCTATTTGTAAAGAGGACTTTCATTAAGTGCATTAAGATTCTTCCACAGCGTGCTCGCTGTTGCACATCAGTTGCAAATAAACATAATTTTTAGGAGACGGGGTCGTTGGTTGTGTTTTGATACCTGCAGCATTTCTGGACGTGGAATGTTTGTTTGCTTTTACACGTTGAGCTGATGATTAAGGAGATGCAGCAGAAGGGATTTTCTCTGTTGATGAGAGCAAATTAAAGCAACTGAAGGAGGAAGATGAATCAGCGAGGTCGCTCATTCATCCCAACACACACACACACACACACACACACACACACACACACACACACCTGGTGTATTCATCGACACTAAACAGCCTATGAGTCATCAGAGCAGCAGGCGTGTTTGGACAGTTTATTCAGAAGGCCAGTCAGCTGCTGCCTGTGGTACTGTGTCTCTGTACGTGTGTGTGTGTGTGTGTGTGTGTGTGTGTGTGTGTGTGTCACACTAATTGAAAAGCTGGATGCAGCCTCAGCCGGGCCATGCTCTCTGATAGGAGTGTTAGATTTGTGTTTGTGCCAAATGATCACAGCTCACAGCTGACTGCAGGCTCACATCCATTACTACAGCGTGCTGTATGGTGAGTTGCCTCGATGTCACTGCAACCGTTCTGACATAATTTAAAACGTTTCTGCACAAGTTCCTGTTATAAAGAGGAATTCGATGACTGTAAAGACGGTCTGTATTTTTAGTATCAAACACTCTATAGGTTCGAAAGGTTTTTATCTGCAGATCAGTGTGTTCAGTATCTTTTGTGTTTCACGTCATCGACGCCATGAAATCACTAAAGACTACAAACGTACAGAAGATGAACGTCTCCTATAATCCCACATTCTTATTTTCACATTTCTGTATGTGTACACAACAATAGTGAAGGAAGTATTCAGGTCCTCTACTTAAGTAAAAGTGCTAATACCACACTCTACAAAGATTCTGTTAAAAGTGCTGCATTGAAAATGTTCCTTCAGTAAAAGTATGTAAGTATAATCACTGTTATAATATTATATCATTAGATTATTGTACTCATGCTAGATCTTACGAATACTTGTACCTGGTTACATTCCACCTCTTGTACACATTAAACAGAAGATGTACATGTTAATCAGTGAGTGTTAGAGACAGTAGAAATAAACCTTCCTTGAACACAGTGTTCACAACATGAAGCCGTCGTGACATATCTTAGACTCTCCTCTGTGCCGTCGTTCAGACGTGTATCTGCTCTTCAGTAATTAAGACACAAAGCATGAACAGACCCAGAGAGCAGGATTTGCTGGCTGCAGGAAATGTCACTGTGTCCCTGGTCCAGTCTGATGCATTGGCCTTTTCATCAATACTGACACCGCAGCCGGTGCTGTTACAGTGGAAACCATTACGCTCCGAAAGGATGGAGAGGAGTTCTGGTTTCTAGTTTCAGGCTCAAAAAAAGTTCAGTGTATTGTTCTAGTTTTGATAATCACAGACCATGACTCGCTGGGAGTAGTCCAGAGCTGCTCTGGCACTTTGATCGAGAGAAGTTGGGGAGTTCTACATGTTTTAAATGTACTATAAAGCCTTTAGTGAGGGAGCGGTGTGAAGTCTGATGAATATCCTCAAGTGATGTCACTTGAGTCAGCGTCATGTGGGTCTGAAGAATACAAGTTTGAAAAGTGAAATATATCTGAAGTTGAGTTTACCCGACCTCGGTTCCCCGCTGCTCATTTTCTACTAGAACTTCACACCACAATCTGCCACCCAACTATCAGTAGTTGCATTGTGGGTATTGTTGGCACCAGTTTCTGACAAGAAAGAAGAATGTGTGGAATTACAAAGATGATGTTTGTGGTTCTGCTGCATTGCTTTTGATACGTTTCTGGACCCAATGAGGGTCCACAGTCTTTAATGACTCGGAAAAGATGTGTTATGGACAGACTTCACGGTTCCACCTGAGAACACGTGTTCCAGAGATACAAAGATTATGATTCACATGTTTGGATCATGTTATCTCTCTATATTTACAATGAAACAGTTTTCTTTTGTTAACCATTTGTAAGCCTATTGTGATCAACAAATCTGGAGTGTAGTCATTATGGTTTATTGTAAAACCCGTGATTATGGATGACATGTATCTCTGTTGTTGGTGCCTACAGTGTGAAAACATTTAAAAACAGAAGGAAAGAAATCAGAAATAAGTGACGGAGACTTCTTTAAACTTCCTTATGTCATCCTCATCTCTCCTTTGCAGCTAATATGTGTAAACCACTAAAACCAAAAAGGATTAAAGAGCTGGTTAAATGAGAACAGCAGCATGTTTTAATGATTTCCAACTGTAATCACTGGAACACAAACATCAGTTCTGACTTCAGTTTGTCTGCTGCACTGCGGCTGCTCCTGCTTCTCCTCCCACAAACTGGAGCTGATGGGGGAAAATCTGCAGACGACTGAGGTAGTAATTACATTTGCATTTT